AATGCGAGCACAGCCGAACGTACACAGTGGCTGATCAACCGCTGCATCCCGCGTCTTTCGTGCGGGACCTCGGTGTGCTCTCACGCTGCGACCTAAAATCCATTGGCAACACGAATAGGCTGTACCAAAACAGTCTTCGGATGCTTTGGGCGCTCAGGCGCAGCTTCAGCACTTGGTCCGAAGAGACTGCCACTCGCCTCTTCGTCTCGATAATACGACCAATGCTAGACTACGGCTCTCCCGCATATTGTCCCATCACGCTGGGCGAGGTAGAAAAGCTTGAGCGGGTGCAGCATGTAGCCACTAGGCTGATTCCCAACTTACGAGGTATGTCGTATGAAGACCGATGTAAGAAACTAGGGCTGTACACCCTAGCATATCGTCGGCTGAGGGTCAACCTCATCATGACGCACCGGATATTACATCTGAGTGAATACCCCATGTTGAGACAACTGCTTCATCTGCGCACACCAAGCAGCACGCGAGGACACCGGTACAAGCTTATCGTACCGCAGCTGAAGCGGGTAGCTCACCAACTCTGTTTCGAACGTAGAGTGGTGAATACCTGGGACAAACTGCCGCAGCCGGTAGTTGAGGCGAATTCAGTGGCCGAATTTAAGAAGCTTCTAGACAAACACTTTGCAGAGGCAAAATATAGAGAGCGGAACGATAATTAATACGTTAATGTCCAAGAGCGACAATTGGTGCAACTACACAGAGTATGCTCTACTCGCTGTTTCTAATCAGTATCAGTGCTATCCGATATAAGAAACTAGCCTAGTTATCACTGCCTAGTACACGCCTACGCACATCATCGTTGCAGACATGCTGGTGCCACCCGAAACCAGCAATGCTTCGCAGACAAAGATGGTCAATTAGTTGAAGACGCTTCAGATCTTCAAAGCGAAGGAGCCAAGTCTCACTCCCATAGAGCAGAACGGCCCTCTCACTGTGGCCTTGCACGCAAAACCTTACAGACGGAGTGAAACTGCCCTTTGTCTAAAAAGATGTCCCAGGGTCAAGAATGCAGTTCTGGCTTTTGCAATGCGTGAACTGACGTCAGTTTCTATGCGCCCATCGTTGCTGATGCAGCTGCCAAAATAAGCGAATTGATCAACCACCTCGAATCCTTCGTTTTCAAAGGTCAACGGGTCGTCAAGTGATTGGTGGTCCTGCAGCAAAACTTTACACTTTGAAGGTGCGAAGCGCATCCCAAATAATGGGAGCACACTAGACAAGCTATTCAGGATTGATTGTGCCGCCGCAATATCGTCGAAAAGCAAGACGATATCGTCCGCATAACCAAGATCAACTAATTTTTCACCAGACACAAGCTCGACGTCACGACGAAAATGAACAAAAATGGGGAAACTGAATAATCCTGACGAATGCCACTTGTGATCGGAAAGCTATCCGATAGGCAACCGTAGACCTTGACACGTCCTGGGGTGTTCGAGCATAGAGCATGCAAAATGATCACATATGTGGTGTGAACACCTTGCCGAGCAAGTTGTTGGAATAGAATGGAACGGCCGACTGAATCGAACGCACTCCTGAAATCAAGGATCACAGCTATTGTCGGTCTGCGGTATGCGTGGCGCTGCTCTAGCACCTACCGCAGCGTGAATATATGGTCTATAAAGCCACGTCCTGGGCGAAAACCTGCCTGCTCTTCCCTAATCAGAGATTCCCGTTCGGCAATGAGGCGACGAACGAGAATCGAGGCCAGTAATTTTGTCACAACTGGCGTTAGGCTAATATCCCTGTGGTCAGCACAGTCGGTGCGACTGCCCTTCTTGTATATTGCCGCCATAATCGATACACTCCAGTTAGCCGGGATGGTCTCCTCCTTACATACATATTCGAACAGCGAGGTCAGTGTTTTTTAGAGGAGCTCACCTCTATCCCTAAATAGTACAGGTGGAAGCGAATCCGGGCCAGCAGCACGCAAACGGTTGAGGGCTGCGATCGCGTTTTGGGCTTCAGCCTCCGATAGAGCTACTAAAATAACCGTGCATGACTCATCCTGCATCATCTGAGTATGAAGAGGTCCGGAAGCAGGGGGTTAACTGAACTGACCTTGTAGTGAATATGCTCGATCATGGACGTAAAAGTTAGCAGCTGAGTCTCTGTGCTCACTGACTCAGTACAAACAACAAGGCCCAGGACAATAACCAAATCTGGTCGATCGTCATCACCAGTAGGGCAACCGGACAAACAGTAGGAAATGCGGATGAAACTGATGATGAGGGATGCACCATAGGAAAACGCCATGTTGTTCACCAGACGATGACACAGATATTCCAGGATCCACTGGGTTGCTCCCAGTGAGTGCATCTATGGGGCCCCTAGAATTGTAATGGAAACAATAACAATCAACTCATTCCATAAGCGAACTCAAAGCATGTGTATATGCTTGAACTAAACTCCGGGGTCATAGAAACAGGGAGGAGTAGATCTAATGGGACAAGATGACCTTTATGGTGTGCCACTCGAATTTGTGGCCCAGATGGAATCAAAGGGTGAAGTAATTGGAGATGAAGACAAACAGCTGATGGATTCCAAGCCAGTCCAGCTTACTGTCACAAACAGGGTTGAAATTGTGGATCGCGTTCTAATCAATTGCTGGAGCAGCTGAAACCACCATGAAGGCCGTCGGTTTGACCCTATTTATGACATCCGGCACAGATAGTAGCTAAGAAAGTATAACAAAATATGACTTTCAATAACTTTGACAGTGACTTGTATCAACGATCACAGGACGCCGGGAGAACCTCTAAAGTTCAGTTTATCATTCGTCACCCCCATATTAGAAATAACCGAATAAGTCAGCAAAGCAAGTCTCACCATTCCGGCCTCCAGATTGGCGGTGTACAATCTGTCTCGATGCTCCAATATTTTACAAGAGAGCGAAATCTGCGTAAGGCGGTCCTCGCCCCCATAGATATACGTTTGGCAGATTGTTAGAGTAGAAGCATCCGTTCAAAAAGCAATCCAAAATCAAATGAGTACATGTGTTTGCGCTGTCAAGTACGCTTGAAAAGAGTATTGAGAAAATGCTGCTACATTCTACAACCTTTGTGCTATGGGAAAATGGATGAGATTCCGACGACTGGACACATAGGGTTTTCATACCTATCCTAGTCAAAATACAATGCGACTCAGAACCTGGGTGCAGGGACTACTGGACAACGGCTATATAGCTGTGCCACCGAGTCAAGAGTAGTCGTTAATGAAAGACAAGAGATTAACTTAACCGAGGTTCACTTCAAGTAAGGTGGAAATGCAAACCAAAGTCGCAAGCAATAATACACACATACAAGGAGGATTTCTAATGAAGCGACAACTTAATTCTCTCTTTTTCCCCTTAATTTCGTTGTTCGCTTGTGTTGAGTACGGACCTTGGCCCGGTGGTTGAGGCATGTAACCGTCTAATGACGTCTTCCTATTTTACAATGGTCAAAAGAGCCGGACGAACTGGTCTAAAGGGAGTTGGGAAAGTAGTAGCCAAGCAAATGAGCACTTGGGTTTTCGATCGATCCAATGTGTTCGTAACAGTCTGTCACGGAAATGTGAGTCAGGGCAACTGAATGCACGTCAATGCAATATCCGTGTGTGTAAAGTAAATAATAAAAAATAATGCGTCAGCTGTACACCGTAACGGCGTTTCGTTGCTGCGCGACCACCACCAGTCGCGCGTGGGCTAAGTAAACCGCGAGGACGTTCAATCCTATGTGGATTCGAACCGGTGACCTTATGGTTGCAAACCAAGCGTACAAACCACTCGGCCACCGGCCGACGTGTAAATTAAATAATGCAGATGGGTTCACCGATTAAAAACGGTGCACCGAAACTGAAGTTGAATCGGCTGCCTTGACTTGGGCCGGCAAAAAAGCATAATTATAATAGGGAAAACATACAAAAAATGAAAAGATCAAACGGGTTAGTTAATGTTCGGCAATGACAGGACGAGTGTGAGGGCGCCCCCGAGTTCCGGAACACGCATATCTGATGACTGGTGTCTAGTCGTCAATAAGCGACCAATTCCGAGGACAACACAGAAAGATTTCCATCGCGTTTATTATTGACAAGTCACTGACGGGCTATGTCTGGGTTTCACTCGTCTAGGTGCAGTATTGAAAAACGATACACACCGAGGCAGCCGGAGTGTACACCTGTGGACCACATGATCGAACCAGTGAAGACAAGTTGGATTCAACAGGCACCCTAATGGGTCACGTGAGCGTCCATTGTCAAAAATCATTTGGATTTATGTATTCAGCAAACGGGTTTACAGATACATACATCGAACAGTAAGATAGAGTGAGCATAGATAAGGTTGGATGACATTGGGTATAAACCCAGATAGCACTCCTCATTCGGTAGGGACATGGTCCGAACATAAATGTCGGGTGAACCTTGGTGATGTGACCTTTTGATTTTGCTAGGGGGCACCCATCATGAGGTTTACCATACAGCAAGATACCCCCTTATCACAGTATCCACCAGGGAAAGAAAAACGTTGAATAGGCAAAAGTGGCCTGTTGCCAAACACCAAATGAGAAAGTTCAGTGGTAATCACTCAGTTCGGCCTCATATAGCATCAGTATCTCGAGGGCGTCGATAGCATACAAGCCCAGTCTTTTAATATCTTTAGAATGTGACGGTTAGATCTCTTTTCCATACAGTATAACTGGCCGTGCCGCAGCGTTGTAGACCACTGCCTTGACCAACAAGCAAACATTTTTCTGCGTTCATATATGGCTAGACATTAAAAGCCATATGAGCACTAACAATGCGTGCAGCAACCTATTCAGTTATATGACAGAGCCCAACAAAGAAACCGATAGAGAAATTCGGTTACAGAAAAAGTTGGTAGTAATTTGATCCAGTCATTTAACGGTATTTTGCACTTTGTGGTTGTAAAGCACACGCCGAAGCATGCAGCACTACACGTCAGTCAAGTCAACAAAGACCGCAACGTAGTAGCTGGATCTTACCCATAAAAGAAGCTGTTGTTCGCATAAGCAGTCACGATTATTTCGATCGCACAAAGGGAAAGTAAACTCGAGAGATAAGGAAGCCCCGGTGCACGCACTCCACATGTTGCAATGACTTCATGGGAGAGCATCCGTAGACACCGTTACAGGGCGGTGAAAATCAAGTGTGCATGGAGCAAAGTTGACAGAGTGGAAATCAAGGTGTATGCACCTGCGAAAACAAGGTAACAAATGTGCAGTTAAAACGTACATGTGAGACATATCTGGGTGATCAATACCCAAAACATGTTTACAACGCTCGTGCACCGAGTATTGGATAGCGGCATATGGAAAGATTCGAAAAAGTGTGGCAGTGTTACCCCTCCATAGGCTAAAGAAGCCGTGATCGCGGAAGGATTGTTGAAGAAATCGGAAGAGATCGCGTACGGTGAACCTCCATTCGGTTGCTAGAGGAAAATGGGGAAGCGAGCTTAACGGGGAAACCTACATTGAAAATTAATCTTAGCTCGATCTAATGGAGCGATAACCGTCTTTGCAACACATCCTGCCAATCCACCGGCGAGAAAATTGTAGGGGAGTGAGGTTCGCTTAGCTGTCAGAGAATCCTGAAGAACCAAGACAGCAGGTTGCACTACAACAAGTACAGTGTGAAGACTTACTTCATCCATCCGAGTACGCACTGGTGATGCGATAAAGCGATTGGTAGACGGAATCGCGAAGTCACAAGTGACGCATTAAAAGAGCCGATGAATGACGTTAGACAATGTAAAGTATGAGATGGGTCCAGATATGCCTAAAAGAGTAATGGTACCTTTTAGTGAAAAAATGAAGATACACAGATAGTTGAAATAAATAAGAGAACGGTGGACACTATTAAAGAATTTGATAATGACAAAATTGAATTTCGTTAGCGGAAGTGAGTTCAGAGCTCGTTTCTAGAGAGCAAAAGAATTTCCATTACCGGAACGACACACATTTATCAGGATAAATAGAGAGTATTGAATAGTGAGTTATTCTATGCAGGATTTTCCCTTCACAAATTTCAAAATAGCACCAAGTTAAGAAGTTGCTCTGCAAATCCAACCTGGACAAGCCACACCCTTACGTTAGCGCCTCTTATGTTTACCTATTCCACTGTACTTGGGGTAGAAAGTATGTTGGCCGAACTGAGAGGAGGCTAAGCCCTAAGATTTCAGAGCACATTCCACGAAACATGGTCGCTAAGGGTCCAAAACTGCCGGCTAGCTCAAATACTTAACACGTCCTGGATTGCACAATGTGCCAACACCCCCGTGAATTGTTTAAAGTACCTAACCTACAGAGCAATGCCCGATTGCTGCAGTTTACCGAAGCCTCAGCTATCCGGTGATTTAAGCCCAATTTGTGCAAGCAGACTTAACCTACGGCCAGCCTCGTCCTGCCTTGGTGAGGTTATTGATCGTTTTTCTTTGAAATGAATGATCTTGCACATTGCTTCCCTTCTGTATGTAATGCGATAATTGCACGAAGGTGTGTAAACAGTTGAGGAGAACACTCGAAATACCTCAATTCAGCAGATTCTGTCAAAATGTTTTTTCTTCTTGCTATTTTGAAGTAAGTTATTCTAACCAGCATACCCATTTACAACTACAGTTTAGGAAAAACGGAGCGTAATCTTTTGCATCAACAGGACGTACATAGAGACAATATGATGAGTACCGAATACAAGTGGGAAAAAAAAGTCTTCAGCTGCAAGTAAGTATATAGTAGATGATTCCAGCGGCAGCCCACTAAGAAGCCTTTATTTTGGATTTCGGTATGGCAGGTGGCAGTTACTAGCAATGTCTGCGATCCCAATTGGCATTCTCGAACATCGCCTATGGTACAAAGTGTCGCAAAATTTAGACCAACCCGAACCAGAAGTAACGCAAATCTGCAGAGTAATCTTAAGAGGTTTATCGAACTCCGGCAAGATTCTCAACACAAAATCGCCTACTCAAACAGCAGCGAAAGAAAAGAAAAGTTGTTTGATTTACACATAGGGTTAAGCCATAATCCACGGATTGAAGCATTTGATCTGCTGTGATTCGCGAATAAAAATGCAGTGGAGGAGTTCCGGTTTACGTCTGCAATGACGCTGTGAACACACAGATAACAACCAACTGGTGAAGTCAGTTATTCTGAATGTGTGTAAAGTACCTTAGTATCCGTACGGGGTAGGCGCTCACTGAACACAGTTAAGGATCACCGGCTGCATATTCACCAGACGTTACTGGCAGCAGGCATGTCCTCATGTGGCAACCTGCACAATGAGTCTACGCAATCTAGAACTTATGGATACGCGCCGAGGTATTCCGGCTGGTGGCGAAAACCAATGACTCGCAAAGATCTCAGAACAAAACTGTGCTAGGTCGTAGAGAGAGCGCGAAGCCTCGTGATCTTGTTGTGCGTAAAAGGTAGGATCAGCAGCTGCCATTGGTAATCATTGGAAGTTATTCCGTCTGATACTCGAAACGGGCAGTAGAAGACCTGGTGCAAACGGCCAATCCACAGCTTGCCAAAACGCTTGCAGAGTTAGGTCCAACCCTTTGAAAAGCAGCTTAACCAACCAAAGTTACCAGCTTCTGCATCGACCAATGATCGCCGTTCTGCTGGGGCCGTCCCCCTGGACCCGCACCAAAACGCAAAAGTCGAATGTAATATCAGGCCCTTTAGATTGAGAAAAGCCGTAGCCTTCTTCGAATTCGGAGGAACTGCATTCGTAGCTGATATGCACAACTTCCCAGTGAATCTGTGGGAGCAAGAAACTGTCCCAACAGACTGGAGCAGGTCCGTTATGGACCTCATTTTCGGAGAAGGCTCGAATCCCGAATGCGACAATCATAGAGTGTTATGATCTACCTCAATCTGCGCGATTTCGGTTGAACCGAATTCGTTCCCTGCTAGCTCCGAACCCTAACAGAGAATCAGAAGCCAACGATTGGAGGCAAAAGCGTGCTGCTGAACCAGCTGCAGAAACGGGTACAAGTAGTGTGACATCAAACGGGCATTTTTATAAGTCTATCACGGAAGTTCCACGTCGTATGGACGCGAACGTCACTGAAACCACTTATGTTTCTAGGATACCCCAGTGGCTCAACTTGTTTTCCCACTGAAGTACCGAGTTTTCCTGTAAAATTTTCCTCTCCCTGACATCTCCCCACGAGTTCGCGGCTGGGGTGTCGGATGATAACCTTTGGTTGACTTGAAGTCTTGAGGACAGTGATCTCTGTCGGTCCGTCCATTGCCTGGATTGAAGGGTCTTTGGAGTTGACTCTATACCATCGGATGCATCGTTTGATTGACTGTGACCCATTCTGTCTTGTTTCGGTAAATTGAAGTGATCTACGGGAAGGTCGAAAGGTAGTTGCGTTGGTTTTCTCGCTTCTGGCTGGCACAGCGTTGAGCGTAACTGATTTGCATGGCGGACCCAGGTTTGCGATTCAATGAGCGCATCGTAAATGACATCTCAGTGTTTACCTTTGATCTCACCTTGAGTCCATGCTGCATGGTCTTTTCGATAGTCGCGTACAAGCACTGATTTTCTGGGCTTGAATAAACGTTGCTTTGCTCCATGCCGCTGATTGAATACCTGCTCCATTTTCCCGATCCTTCCGCCGTATAAGGACTCAGGAGCTGGTCGAATTGTATGGCATGGCTTGCGGAGCTGTTTGCTCCTCGTTTCTTCAGGGGACACTCCGTTTGGTGCTTGAGGCTTCAACGTACAACGGTTGTAAATCTGGTTCAAGATAACATCAAATAGTCCCAGCCTCTCGATCCAGTCGATTCCAAAGTTTGGGGACTGGCTTGCCGAACAACCTCGTGGTGCCAGCTAGGTGGTTAGCGATTTTCCCGTTCCAGCAAATGGTTCGGCGGCGGTGTTCCAGGACGTGGTGGGTTTTCGTCTGGCAAGCGCTCTCCCTATAAAAAGCCACTGTGAAGTGGAGGTGACACGCCACTAAAGAAAGATACTGCCCCTTGCTTCATCCTGGCGAAGCATTGTATTCCAGCAACTTTGTGCTGTAATTCTGAGGAGCATTGGGCCCCTGTTTGACAAAGGAACAAACGAAAGGCGTATGAACTGAGCAATTAGTCACCGGCTCCCAACGGGCGCGATTTCCTGAATTCGCTCCGCTGTCTTGCGGGCAGGCTATTCAGCCAAAGGCTCGGAGTGGTGTCCCCTAAGTCAATACCCTACTTCAGCTTGGGCAACTGGGTAGTATCTCGCCATCTGACGAAACCATGGACTTTGATATGTTGTGTTTTCTTTTACCATTTCTTTTGAATCCCATGGTTTCTGATGGCTCTAAGTCTATTCTTAGACTGTTGCGTCTAAACCACACAACAAAAGTGCTTCCGGAATCAGGATTATAACTGAATTCAGTAATGGAATTGCAGAGGAGATTAACTGAAATTGCCTACCTGTCTCGCGAAGCTGTTTCTGAAGACTGCAAACTGAGCCGCTGCGTCAAGGTTTCGACCAGCTTCATTTGCGCCTCCATTTGTGCCTGATGTTGCCGCAACAGCATTTGAAATTGGTCTGCAGAATAATTCACTGCATCGTCACCTTTGTCTGTCACCATTTGTTATGATCCCCCACAGTCTGTGAGATTCCGGTTGAACTGCATTCTTTCTCTGCCAGCTCCGAAGCACAACTGAGAATCAGAAGCCAACGCTTGGAGGTAAAAGCGTGTTGCTGACCCAGCTACCGAAACGGATACAAGTAGTGTGACATCAACGGGTATTTGTATAAGTCTATCAAGGAAGTTTCACGTAGCAGAACAGCTAGGTCAGTTGTCCTGATTGGTAGATCAGTTCCGCTAGCCAATGGGAAGGTTGGTGCGCACGCCGTAGGGACGCGAACGTTCCTGAAACCACTTAATGTTTCTATTGTGCCCCAATGGATCAACTTGTTTTCCCACTGAATTACTGAGATTTCCAGGGAGATTTTCCTTTCCCTGACATAGAGACATCAGTGTGATCTCAAATGCTTCTAAGATGCTCGCTTCTGCTGCTCTTCATAATCTTACTGGCACCCGTGGGAGCCCCATTCGTGAGGAGCAAGCCGGGTTTCACCGAAATCAAGGCTGTATTGACCACATCATCACCTTAGGCCAAGTATTGGAACACTGCCATATTTGTTGACGACGTACTGCGGTCGTGTTCCTCGACATCAGAGGTGCCATCGATACGGTTGATCGATGTGCCCTTTGGTACTTTCTGCTCAGGAAAGATGTGCCCGGAAAATAGATCAACACAGTTCCTTACGCGTATAGTTCGGGCAGAGTAAGGGCTTATGGCAAGCTGTCGCTGAAATGCAAGAAAAGCAACACAAATACGTGCGGACCAACTGCAGCGATGATGCAGGACACATGCCACCGACCGCATAACCGGCATGGGTTAGTAAATGGGATCGGAAGCGGCGTACTCCCCAAGCGCTGCGCTGATGGTGCTTACTTTTTCAGCTTACTCGTTGCATCTTCGGTCTTGGACACTTGTCGCCACGCTGGTGGGTTACCAGATCCTCTTAGCTGAGGAACTCGTGACCGCGTTCTACAGCACCATGCGATTAACGTTAATAGGCTAAAATCCGTAGGAGGCCGTAGCTTCTCCAACCGACTTTCCTCTTAGAATACAATAGTGCTTTCAC